CCTAGCGGACTTCGTGACGGTGTGCACGACAAGGGCAGCCACGGACGAGGAGCCCTCGGCCCCTTAGATGACTGGTGGACCCTCTACACCGACGACTCCTCCGCCATCAAGGCATGCGGAGGAGGGGTGGTTCTCATCTCACCCGAGGGCTTCCGGGCCTATTATGCAGTCCGTTTCTCCTTCAAAGTCTCCAACAATGAAGCCGAATACGAGGCTCTCCTCTGTGGCCTTCGGCTGGCGGCTAACATGAAGGCCCGACAAATCCACGTCAAGTGCGACTCCAAGTTAGTCGTCGGCCAAATCTCCGGGGAGTACGAAGCCAAGGAAGGGAGAATGAAGCAATACAAGGAGGCGGCCAAGGAGTTGCTTAAGGTATTTGAGGCACACTCTCTTACTCAAATACCGAGGGCTCAAAACTCCGAGGCCGACATTTTATCAAAACTCTCGGCAGAATCCCCTGAGCATATCTCCAAGATTGCCAAAGTAGAAGAACTCAGCCTCTCTAGCATACATGCTAGCCCCGTCATGGATATACAACAAAGACAGGAGGACTGGATCTCGGATATTGTTGCCTTCATCACCACAGGGCAACTGCCCGAGGATGAGGCTCGCGCCAAGCTGGCAAAGATGAGGGCTCCCAGCTACACTATCGAGGACGAGAGGCTTTACAAAAGGTCCTACAACGGGACGTTGCTTCGGTGCCTTCATCAAGAGGAAGCCGAAGTAGCATTGGAGGAAGTGCACAGTGGCACTTGCTCAGCTCACCAGGGACCCTTCTCCATGTCCCGAAGGCTAATAACCCAGGGCTACTTCTGACCTACGATGGCCCGGGATTGTGCAGATCTTTCCCGGAGGTGTCCCGCATGCCAACACTTCCAGAAAGCCCCCGGTAGGCCAGCAGTCAACTATGCCCCCATCAGCACATCCATACCCTTCGCTCGATGGGGCATAGACCTTGTGGGCCCTCTGCCAAAGGGTACCTCCAACAACAGATACATCATCGTCGCCATCGATTACTTCACCAAATGGGTGGAAGCTGAGCCCCTCGCCAGCATCACTGAGGCCAGGTGCCGTCACTTTGTTCTCAAAAACATCCTCACCAGGTTTGGCGTCCCTCAGCAAATCATCTCCGACAATGGGACTCAGTTTGAGGCAGCCCCCTTCTGTGCCCTCCTAGAGGCATGGGGCATCAAACACACCTTCTCATCCGTTGCCTACCCTCAGGGCAACGGACAGGTGGAGAACGCCAACATGACCTTACTCGAGGGCCTAAAAAAGAAGCTGGAGGCCGAAGGGGGTGGTTGGGTAGAAGAGCTCCACATTATCTTATGGGCCTACCGTACCACTCCTCGGCGGGCAACTGGCGAGACACCCTTCTCCCTTTGCTACGGATTTGAAGCCAAAGCCCCCACTGAGGCAACTCTCCCAACCCGATGGGTCACACAATACGATCTAGAGGCCAACGACTCCAATATGGCCCTCGACCTACACCTTATTTCAGAACGCCGAGAGCAAGCCTTCATACGCGCAGAAAACTACCGAAGGCAGGTGAAGAGTTACATTGACGCCAAGGTTCGCTCCCGGGAATTCCAAGTGGGGGACTATGTTCTCCGAAGAAGGGAAGCTAGCCAACCAACCGAGGGCAGAAAGATGGCACCGAAGTTCGAAGGCCCCTACATCGTGGCAGCCATCGTCAAACCGGGAACTTACAAATTAAAACGCCCTAACGGGGCTGAAGTCCCTAGGCACTGGAATGTACATCACTTAGTTAAATTTTATCAATAACATCAGAGCGGCCAAGCCCTCATAACTAGTGAATGTATTATTTTACGGCCCAAGGCCTAAGAATTCTGAAGAATGAAGGCATTTTGAAGACACTGAGAACACGGAACAAGATTATCACAGGGGCCAAGCCCTCATATCACCCTCAGGCTCAAGGCCTCACCACAATAGAAGAACCCCCGACACCAAGTGCCGAGGGTAGACAATACTATCACCTACAACAAAGCACCACCTGTCCCCGCAAGGAAACCCCTCGGCACCTGGTGCCGGGGGGACACGCTACTGGCAGCTTTCAACAAATGAGGAAAAACACCAAGTGTTTCCACAGAAGACCCTTCGGTACCAAGTGTAACACCCCGTCCCCGTAGGACCCGAGGTAGTTACTCCAGACCTCTAGTACTATCCTCACAAACCACCACTAGCCTTTTCCGCGCACTTTGTCCTCACTCATGCGCGCCCTAAGAAACTTCCCAGGGGGTCACCCATCCCAAGACTACTCCCGTGAAAGCACGCTTAACTTTGGAGTTCTTAGGTGATGAGCTCCCTTAAAAGGAGATGCATCTTGTTGGTATGAGTAGTACTATTAATCCGTTTAAATTAAATCTCAAGTGTTACAATCACCCCCACTTAGGAACGCAACGTCCTCGTTGCGCCCATAAACCAATCTTAAATCTCAATCAAATCCCAGAATCCTCCCCGCTAAGTGCCTGCCCGATATCCAACGGGTCAACACACTGTCACAGGGGTTGCTCTGATACCACCTGTAACACCCCGTCCCCGTAGGACCCGAGGTAGTTACTCCAGACCTCTAGTACTATCCTCACAAACCACCACTAGTCTTTTCCGCGCACTTTGTCCTCACTCATGCGCGCCCTAAGAAACTTCCCAGGGGGTCACCCATCCCAAGACTACTCCCGTGCAAGCACGCTTAACTTTGGAGTTCTTAGGTGATGTGCTCCCTTAAAAGAAGATGCATCTTGTTGGTATGAGTAGTACTATTAATCCGTTTAAATTAAATCTCAAGTGTTACACCAAGTACTGAGGGTAGATAACACAATCCCCTTCAACAATCGGGGAGAAACACCAAATGTTTCCACGGAAGACCCCTCGGTACCAATACCGAGGGTAGACACCACAGTCCCCTACGACAAGTGAAGGAAAAACACCAACTACTTTTACAGAAGACCTCTCGGTACCAAGTGCCGGGGGCCGTAAATCGGAACAAACACCAAGTGTTGTTTCTGAGCCATACCCCTCGAGGACACCTATACCGAAGGCGCCACCTCTCGGTGCCGGCAGCACGTAGTGCACCCGGCCATTTGCAACTAGTGTGAAAATGAAAACCCTTCCCTGAAACGCTTTCCGCGTCATCACCCCAAGGGTATGACAGGCATGAGAAATGCCCAGGATTCGACTTTCAAAACGGAACGCTTTCCGCGTCATCACCCCAAGGGTATGACAGGCACGAGAAATGCTCAGGATTCGACTTCCAAACTGAAACGCTCCCCGCGCCACCACCCCAAGGGTGTGGCAGGCCACGGACTATGTCTAACGCCGAGGGGACGACTTTCAAAAATGAGGTGCTTTCCGCGCCATCCCCCAAGGGGAGGCAGGCTACATACCACCATATCTTGTACCCAGGAAACGACCCTCGATCCCCTCGGAACTCGGAAGGTTAACCTGAGGGGGGAGCTAATGGTGTATTCTGTTACCTCCCGATAGGCCAAGCCTTACCAAGAAACCAAGTTTCTTGAAGCCTTCCCTTCACTACTGAAAAAAAATGGGGTGGTGAAGAGGAGTAGACTCGGCGAGAAATCAATGAGTACGTCACTCCAACATACCGAGGGCTCCCCAATGGAACGCCTCCGGTACCTGAAAGTTCACAAGTACAAAGGATACCATTCACAACGGACATCATCAACAAACGGCTAAGTCCACTCAAGGATTGCCTCCGGCTATACCTAAAACCGAAGGCTACTTTATGACAAAGCTATCAGATGTTGGCGGAATCAAATCAAGAATAGCCCTCGGCACCTCACCACATGCCGAGGGGACACATCCAGACAGTCCCCGAGGGAGTCTGCCTTCTTATGCTAGACTTGGACTACAAACTCTCCTATAGCAACATTGGGGGGACATAGCAAACTACCGAAGGCTTTATGTTGCCACAAGCCAACATCACAAGGCAAAGGAAACTATCCTAAACCTACAACGCCTACGACCAAAGGGTCCCCCCGAAGGCCAGCAGCAGGAAATACTTAAAAAAAACCTAAGTCCTAAATGCTTTTCCCCTTGTGGAGCCGCCAGTCAACCGAAGGCATATCTGAGACAAAGCCCTCATAGTCACCCGAGGGCTCCTACTTCACACATGCTATACTTAGAAAAATTTTCTAAGTCCTACATACTTTGACTCTCGGTCAAATCTCCATGCTGCCCGAGGGCTCCTACTTCACACATGATATACTTAGAAAAATTTTCTAAGTCCTACATGCTTTGACCATCGGTCAAATCTCCATGCTGCCCGAGGGCTCCTACTTCATACATGCTACACTTAGAAAAATTTCTAAGTCCCAAGAGTTCTTACCCTCGGTCAAATCTCCCTACAGCCCGAGGGCCATGCGGATGAGGACTTGGCAAAAGTATACTTAGAAAAATATTCTATGTCCTAACTATTGTTGGGCCCTTGGTCATACATCCAGCGAAGGGTGCCCAACTACCGAAGGCTAAAACTGTATTCAAACACTTAGAAAAATTTTCTAAGTCCTAAGCACCTCACCTCCGGCTATCTCACGAAGGCTACATGGAACCAGAGGGGAGGAACCGGCCGAGGGCCAACAGATGAACAAACACTTAGAAATATTTCTAAGTCCTGAACGTTGTGCCCTCGGTGAAAGGTTAAATTGACTAAAGATTACTGGTAGCCGAGGGCTACAAGAAACACTACACTTGGAAGAATATATTCTAAGTCCTAAACAGACATTCAGAAGGGCGAAGGCATACATTCAGAAGGGCGAAGGCATACATTCAAAAGAAAACGACGGCATACATTCGAGAAGAAATGAATTAAAGAGGACAAGTTACATACCAAAAGCCCGAAGGCATATGTACTCATTCATCCGATGAAGGGAATTTTAAATGTATGTTACAAAAAGGGCCGAAGCCAACAAATACAATAAAGTATGATTACAAATCGGGAGGGAATACATTTCATGAAGGGGGAGCTGTAGAAACTGCCTCACTCTCGGCCTCATCCCCATCACCCCCGAGGCCGCACTCCCTTAGGGTCTCTGAATCTTCGAGCACTGGCCTCTCTTCCCCCTCGGGGAGCGGGATCCTGATGTCTGGCTGACGAGGGGGGAAGCCATAAGCCTCTGGATGGAACTCCTCCGGTGCGATCTTGAAATGCCTCGCAAGCTTCCGGTAGATAAGGCGCTGGGTGAAGAACTCCCCGCCTTGGTAGTACGAGTCGCCCCTCTCAGCAAGCCACATCTTGCCGGGGCCTCCGACCCACTCGTCCACCGAAGCCCCCACTACCGAAGAGAGCTACTCCCTCCGATCTTCAGCCTTCCATCCCTCGGTAGTGAAGCTGGCCACCGCATCCTCCCGGGCTCTAGAGACGGCTTCTTCTTGAGCCGCGCGAGCTTCATCAGCAGCAATGCGGGCGGCCTCGGCAGCAGCCTCCCCGGCCCTGGCCAGGCCCTCATTCACCCCTTCGACCCTCGCAGCCTGCACCCGCTGCTCCATGCCATCGGTAGCCAGGCGAAGAGAGTCCTCAGCCTCGGCAAGTTTCTTCCTGAGGAGGGCGGCCTCCCCCTCGGCTGCGCCCTTTGCCTCCCTCATTTGCTCCACCCTCCGGAGGTGCTCGCAGAGGCCCATGAAGCTCTGCAATTCACATAGGCGAAAATGAAACATAATAAACACATTACAAAAAACAACGAACAAGGAAAGGATGGGTATGACTTACGGAGGCAGTGTTCAGAAGGATCTTCGCCTCGAGGGATCCCTCGTCCAACCTGGCGAGGGCCAAGCGGTCAGCCGATGGCAGCATCTGGCTCATCAGTGCCGAAGGGTTCAGGCTGCCCTCCAATACAGAAGCCCCCTTCGGCACTAGCGCCTCCAGTTTCTCCCGCCCGAAGAACTCCTGGTTGATATGCTCCTGGGAGGTGGGGGCAGAGGCGTGCCCTTCATCCACGATCACGACCACATCGGTGGTCGGCTGCTTGGCGGGGGCGGCGGTCTTCACCTTCTTGGTCGGGGGCTCAGTCCCCTTGCCGTTGTTCTTCTTCTTTGCGGGCCCAGCACCCCTGGACCCTCCCGCGCCAGCAATGGCGGCAGCAGCTTGGGAAGGCCCCTCCCTGCCAGAAGTGCTCGCCGGGGCCTTCTTCTTCCCCTTCGCATTCTTTAAGGCAAAGAGAGAGCCTACGTCCATGTTATTACCTGCAAGAAAAAGACACAGAAGGTTAAACCGAAGGGTGTCAGTTGCAATAACATAGAGTAAAAAAAACAGAAATGTATGAAGGAAAACTATAAAGGTACAAAGGAACCCTTCGATAATCACCTCCGGCTCCTTCGAAGACTCGATCGAGGGGAGGGTATCTTTCATCCGAAGAAACCCTCGGCCTGAACTGCCGGAAGCCAAGACTAAGCAATTCCTCGGGGAGGGTTACGTCCTTGATCTTGACGTGTTTATCAGACCCCTCCGCTTTTTGGCAAGCACTTTGCCATTCTTCTCCAGGGTTGCGCTCCCTACCTTCGGGTGGCGCCGGATGTTGTTGCGGAGCTGGGCTGGGAAGGGGTTCTCTTCGAGACGAATGTAGCAAAAGCGCTCCTTCCACCCCTTGTGGGACGAGGGCACGTCATCGAAGAGCCTGAACTCCGGTACCTGCTGAAGGATGGCAAAGCCCTCAGCATTTGAATGCCCCCTCCCCCCGGCAAAGGTTGAAGGACATGAAGAACTGGTCAAGGGTAGGTTCAACCCCCCGGCTCTGGCACAGGGAGAGGAAGCCGGCCACGTAAGAGTGACTGTTGGGCGTTAGCTCGCAGGGGGCCAACCCCACGAACCTCAAATATTCCAGCAAGAAGGGATGAAGCGGAAACCGAAGCCCCATCTCCACCGAGAGAGTGTGAACAGCAAAACACCCTTCGGGCGCATATCGCAATAGATCATCTGCCATGGGCTCCACCACGCGCGCCGAAGGGACAACCAACATCTGAGTGGCATGGTATTCTGCCGGGGACGCCCTCGTCTTCAGCTCCAGGGCGGCGGTGTTCAGGAACGAGTGGCCCTCGGGTATGCCTACCGGCCGCCCAGCGTCAACAGCCGCTTGTTTCTTCCTCGGGGCCGCCCTCATCTCCTTCTTCTTCCCGGGAGCCACGCTGATTGGCATCGGGTCCAATGGCCGGGAGGAGCTGGATTCCCCAGCACCACGAGGGGGAAGAACGGCAACTGTCACCTTCATCCTCTCCCTTTCCTCTTCTTCTTCGGCAGTTTGCACGGCGAGGGCGAGCTCTTCGTCCTCGTTTACTTGCTCGAAGTCTTCGGCTTCGACTTCGGCCTGAAGGTCTTTCTCCACCTCCATGGCCACCGCAGCATCACCACCCACCGAGGACTCCCCGCTCGAGGACTCGACATCTGAGCACGTCTCCATCTCGACTGAAGGCTCCCCCGAGATATCCTGGGAGTCGCTTTGTGAATACATCTTCCCACTAGCCGAGGGCTCGGAAATGCTAAGTATCCTAAAAAATTCTAACTCCTAGCCTAAGGGCACAGGGCACAGCTAGCTAGGAGGAGAAAAGTAGAGGGGAACTAACCTTAAGAGCTGGGAATCAACCGAAGGCTGGAGTTTCTCTCTCTAGAAAAAATCCGGTAGAGCTTCGCTAACAAGATTTCGCACAAGGGGAAGTGTCCGGCCATGGGGTATTTATAGGCAAAAGGATCCGGGCTTGGGCCTGGAAACCGGGCCTCCAGTTGGACTGACATCATTACCAACCGTGGTTTCACCCAATCGGTGACGCCCGCCCACGGGCAGCCAACGAGCACGCACCACGTGGCAACCCCCCCAACGACTATATCCTGACGTTACATATTCCAACGGCTATATTTTCAACGGCTATATTCTGGGAGCCCCCGGGCTTTTTACTTCATTCCACTTCATCAAGAAGAGCCCCCGGGTACACTTACCCGGAGACACTCCCGGTTTGTGCCCACACACTACATCACAGATGCCTTCGGATCACTCCTTCAGAAGCCCAAGGCTTCATATCAGGCCACCCCTCAGGGATCCCCCCTCAGCACTTTGAGGGCCGGGTAGCCCCCGGGGAGTATGCCTCTTTGACGGATAGACTATGGCACACAGGTAATAGGAGCCCTCGGATATCCTCATCACCAACTAATCAACAAACAGGGGACCCCCCGGTAACAATTCAACTACTACCCGCATTCATTACGCCCTCGATCCCCAGATTGAGGGACTCCCCTTCGGCGCCTCCCAGGATATCAAAAGCAAGCCTCCGGCTAATCAACAAATGAGCCCTCAGAACGGGGAAAGCCTTCGGTATCATCATTATTCTCCATTTTGAACCAAGGTTTCACATTTTCGATTCATCGTTGGGGGAATTCGGTGCACTCTTTTTCCCTCATTAGGATTTTTTCCCACAGGGTTTTTCCTAATGAGGTTTTTAACGAGACATCCCCCCAAAATGAAACGAAAAGCGTCAGCCTTCGACCCACAACAGCAACGCAACTACTCTACTCCTTTTCACCACTTTGCAAGTGCCTCAAGGAGTGAGGGACTGGAGGACCCCCTCGGGAAAAATCACAAAAATCACAAACATGACCCCTCAAGTCCCGACATGTGGGTAACTGAGGGACTGCCCTCGGCAGAATAAACAAACAGCAAACTACCCACGACTCTACAAACTACAAACGAAACAACGGCAGAGGACAAACACAATTACTCCTTTTCCCTCAAGTACCTTTCGGCAAAAGGAGTGAGGGACTCCTGATGGAGTATATGGCCCGGGAACCCCCGGCCCACAGACTCCTACTACTGCAATAAAGGCCCAACAGGCCCAGAAAGCACAACAGGCCCAAATCACAGTGCCCAGAGTGCCAAGCAGCCCACAATGCGCACCAGGGGCGCCCTCGCCCCCCTGGCCAAAGGCTCTAACTCTCACAGGAGGGCCAAGACAGGAAAACAAAGTTACTAGGAAAAACGCTGAAAATCAGTAGCCCTCGGCAGTGGGAGCCCTCGGCACTAAGGGGGTCCCCGGTCCTCAGAGCCCTCGACTTGTCATCTACTGCCGAGGGCGCCTCTTCCGACACGATATCCGTTCCACATGCGTACAGATCACCGTACCCTGTACAACGTCCCATCCAACAGCCGCATTAAATGCGGCCACATGCGGTTGCCAGCGCCAACCAGTTGAGGTGACCCCTCGGCCAATGAACGCTTGACACGTGTCCCTGTCCGGCATTTATTGCTACTATAAATAGCACCCCATTTCCCTATTTGTAACCACGCTGAAAACGCTGAACACTCTCCAATATACTTTCTCTCTGTATACTTACTTGTTCTGACTTCTCTCTTGTTACTCCCCGTAATAACCCCTCGGATAAGCTACCCCCGGGTACACTATCCATCAATGTAATTATTTTCTCTACTTAAATCAGGGGTGAGCCCTTGCCTAGATTGACTCCTTCCTAGATCCACTTGTGAGAACACCCACATTTACTGAACTGGTTATTTTTTTATTGCTATTGATGGATTGAGCTCGAGTTTGACAAAGAATTCATATGAATCAATTTAACGCCTATTCCTAAGCTATGAAGAGTCAAGCCTTTTTACGTAATGTTCCCCTCCCGGTGCATCGAGCTGGTTCCGCCACTGGTCACATAAGTGTCAACATATACTGGTTATTGTGACACTTTTACATGTGTGTAAGAAATGTAACATATTTGTAGTGACCGAGCGATGAGTAAAACTAATTATAACTAACACATCATAATATCCCCATCAAAATAACCACCACAAACAATACGATTCGAAGTAAACCATTACCTATGATCGGCAGTGGTTTGGCAAGAAGCGGTCCTCGGAGAATTATATTACTCCCTTCGTCCCATTTTACTTAGCTAATTTTGACTTTTCGAGTCAATGAAATCTAACTTTGACCGATTATCATAAAAGTATAAAATTATTAAATTTTGCATAAATATATTAGTTTAAACAATTGGTCAAAATTTATCATCTTTCACCGGAAAAGTCAAAGATGGTTAAGACGATGAAAGTGATGAAAGTGAGAGTTTTCTTGTGAGAAAAGAGATCTCAAGAAAATCCCTTAAGAGTGCCAGTGAAGAGCATGTATATAAGTAAAATAATCTCAAATACAAAGAGTGAAGTGCACAATATGTTACTTGTAAAATAGTTCTTGTAATACAAAGTCATATTATTATGAGCTTGTTATGAGCTTGAGTTTGAGTGTGTGAGAGTATGTGCACAAGAATAATTATGAATTTGTGATCCTTGAAGAGGAAAGAGTGATCCTGGAACAAATATGACTATGCAAAAGCAGAAACAAATGTACAACTAATAATTTGATATGCCTACAGCTTTGTTACCATTACTCGAAGGAAATTAATGAATAATAAATCACACAAGGTTGATAATTCTTAATCAATTAGTTAGAAGTTTAAAACAATAAGTTTAAAAACCAACACATACTCCATATTATTCTAGAGTTACTGCAAATTGATGTTAAAATGATGAGTAAAATCTTCAATAATTGTAATGCAAAATAGCTAGAAAGACTTGACGCGGTTATAGTCGCCACCGTTAGTCACGGACAAGAGAATGGATCAACATAGACGCCTCTTCTGTTTCCGGTGCAACGCCTTCTGTTCATTAAGCCAAAGTATCAAATTGTATTATCAATCATACTACTCAGAATTTTCATTAATACTCACCATTATTTCAGTTTTTATGACAATTGTAAACCAGTGCACGGAAATGTATATGAAAAACGCAGTGTTTTTCAATAATTTATTAACTGAATTCCCGATTGAATATTAAGCTGAAATTTGATGAGCACAAATTAGACTTGATAAGAACATGCACAAATATTTTCATTAAAAAATTCCACCGAAAAAGCCTTCAACTACACTCGTCCGAATGAGGCAACCTTTCCTAATGATATAAAATGAAATAGACGAAACAAATGTCAAAAAAAAATGATGTACTGGTTTGACTTTCAAATACAGGTGAAATACTGAAGAGTGAAGTTGTAAAAAGTAAATTTTAAATTGATAATGCATAAAAAATGAAAATCTCAAATCCCTGAAAAACGGAAGTAAAAACTCCTTATTAAACATGTTTGTCATTTTACATTTAAAAATATTTGTCGCACACTTTTTGTACGAACACGCAAAACTTGATTAGTCCAAATATGATTTGTTTATGAACAGTCTATTCACGAACATAAAAACATATAATTAAACGTGCGTAAGATGTGTGTATATGACAAGAATTTTTGTTCAAAAATTAGTTTGTGGGCTCGTTTATTTCCTCTTCATTTACATTTTTCTTTTCTTATTCCAAACTTAACGCTAACTAATTTTGAAATTTTAACCGTTTGACAACATATATGTAGATCACTTTCTTAACACCAGCTCCTTATTCCAAACTTTTGACAAATTTGACCAATACAAAAGTAAAATTTTGTGTATGCAAAAGAGAATTACAACAACAATATCCCAACCTTATTTCCAAAAGATGATTAGTTAAATAATAAAAACCATAAATTAATTAAAGAGAAGTGGTAAAAAATTTAAACAAGTAAAAAAGACGATAGTTCACGGAATTAGAAATGCGGCGCTTGGAAATTTGTATGAGTGTACTATACCTGCCGAGAGAGGATTTGGCAAGTGCGAAATAATACTATCTATAAGGCCGCCGCCGCCGCTGCCGCCACCATGGTCATTTTGCTGCACGTCCCCGCCTCCTCCGCCTCTACCATCAATATTACTGCTCTTATCCTCATCATCATCCACATGGCTCCTCTTCTCCTCCTCCACATCATCTCTCGAGGCGGTTTCACTTTGGCTGAAGAAGTTCGAAATCAAACTGTTGATTCTTCCTCCTCCGCTTTCTCCTCCGTTTCGGCCGCTTTCTTGATCATCAGTTACATCAATAGTATTATTCGCCTGTTCTTCTTCTTCCTCCTCTTTTCCGCTGCCGGAAACAAAGGCCGAAATGAAGTTCTTGATGACCCCACCTGCAGACTCGGTACTTTCTTCAACACGTTTCTTTGTATCGCCGTCCCCTCCCTCCTCCATCTCTATCTTTTCTCCTTCCATTTCATTACACTGAAATTTATTTCATTTTGCTTCTTTTTCTTGCAAGTTTATGCCTATTATTTATTTATTTATTTATTTCCAATGACAAGGCATGCCCCAATTCTTTACAAGCCTCCACCTATACACTAAAATTGCCAGAAAGTCAGTACTGTGCCACCCAAAAATAATAAAATATGCGCCTACTAATTTTAAAATAAGAAACCTTCTAATTTAACATACAAAAACGCATTCCTTCCTCCATTCACTAGCAATGAGCACATTGGGTACTTCCTCCGTCCCTATATAAAAACTATCCATTCGTTTTCCACACATTTTAAGAAAGTGGGTTTGATTGGTACTGTTTGACACTGTTTGACACTGTTTTGCACTGTTTTGTTTGCCAAAAAAAGAAAGAGAACTTTTATTTAGGGACGGCCCGAAAAGGAAACAGATGTTTTTTATTTAGGGACGGAGGGAGTATTATAGTGCACGATACACTAATAAAAACGAACACAAATTTTATTAAATTTAGTAGTTCCTGTTCTTTTTTAATCACAACAGTTCACTTTTCACGCTTGACAATGTACAAGTTTGATCATTAATATCTTTCATTCCTTATTAGTAAAAAATTAAAAATTTCAGATTTTGAAAATTTAAAATGAGAAGAATTTATAAATAATTTTTAAAAATTTAATTTATTATACATTAGTAAATAAAATATAGTCAAAGTAAAACATGTGAATAGTGCAAAAAGTCTATTGTTGCAATTAAAAAAGAACGGAGCTAGTATGAGACAATCATAATGGGACAAAGTTTGTCGTCCTGCTAAGAATAACATAATAGGTATATGGATGAATTAAAATGTCGTCCTGCTAAGAATGTCGTATTTTCCTCTTTGGTTTGTCCGACAAACCAAAGAGGAAAATACGAAATTCTTAGCAGGACGACATTTTAATTCATCCATATACCTATTATGATATTATCATAACCTTACCTCAGAATCTCATATGACATTTTAAACCAATTTTGCAAGCCATACACAAATCTTGTATCATAAATAGGGATGGACTCGGTCGGGTCAACCGGACCGGTACTGTTTTGGCCCGGCCTGGCCCGGTACCCGGGTCCATGCCCGGTTCGGGCCACCCAGCCCGGTACTGTTTCGGGGCGGGCTCCGGGTCTCAAAAAATTGAACCGGTCCGACCCTGCCGGGTCCGGGCCATTTTTTTCAAATTTTTTGGGAGGTAAATAGGTTGGGCTTGGTGTTTTGGAGGGGTTTAGGGTGTGGGAGGGGTGGGGGGTAGGAAGTAATTAGAAAATAAAAAAAATAAGGCAATCGGGCCGACCCAGCCCGGCCTGGCCCGGCCCGAACCGGCCTGGACCCGACCCGGACCCGGTAGCTACCCGGACCAGTTCCGGGCCTCAAGAATCCAAAAAAAGCCTAGTCATACCCGGCCCGGGTCCATGCCTAATCATAAATCATACTCCGTAATATGCAACATATATGTAGACACGTTTGCTTTTGCTCAAACTAAGTAATGCAAGTAGTAGTTGCGAGTGTTGGTACATAGTGTCAGCCTATCAGGTAAAATAGAGGTGTTTACAAAATTACATAAACTTATCAAGAACAGTCTAATAACAAACACAGCTCTTGTTGTGTTTTGTTTTCGGGAGCAGGAGGGGGGGCACCAGGTAAAGAATGATTGAATGAATACCATGAGTTCTTGGGGCTTTTAAGTATGATGGTGTCAAAATCCCTTTGCGAAAAAATCTCCATTCACGTTACCAGAACTCACTATGCAGCAGCAAATTTACCCGTTGCTAACAACCACCAAGCTACCACAAAGAGTTCACCAGTGGATTGGATTGATCAAGTTGTCTTTTTACCACTGTCTGCAATCAGCTCAGCCAGAGGGCGACCAAACACTTCCTTTTCCACCACAGCAGTTTTCTCTGCCACTCTTCTCCGCCTCTCCTTCATCTTTTTGGCATAGTCACGAGCACAGACAATCCGCAACACAGTATCAAACCCAGGGATGTCATCCACCAGCGTGTACAACAGTTTTCTACTGACCTTAAAGAACACCTTTAACATCATCATCGCATCTCTGTTCCAGTCATAAAGGTATGGAGGTCCGGTTGTGTATGATCCCAGTGGTTCACGATACCACCTCCCTCGATATGTTATCTGATCCATTGCTTGTTCTACACTCAGGACCTCCCACGGCCTTAGCCCGGGGATCAACTTAGCCAATTTAATCCTGCACCAACACCCTTATTATGCTTCTCATAGATAAGGAATTCCAAGTACCCATTTGGCAAGCTTATCTTTTGCCTAATAATCCAGATTTTAAGAATTGCTATTTCTATTATTTCACGCGCTTAACTGATTGCATATGAAAAAAGCAAGGTTAGTGTGTTTAGTTGGATGAAGAGGACCATTTTAGCTTCTTTCTATATATTATTATCTCTATTTTATCAATATAATATAATTTTTTCATAATTCACCACATTCAATCAATTCAAATATTTTAGCCCTAAAACCATTTCGAGAAATGGTAAATAGTAAAGACGCTTTTTAACGGTCTCTATTATTGGTCCATGTCACTGTATTTGTTTTATTGGCTTATTGTAATAAGTTATTCTTAGAGACTGTTAGAGAGTGTGTAAAAAGTGATTGTATTATTTGCACGTAGCATTCCTCACTTGAACTTCAGCAGACTAAACATATTCAACCAATTTTAGTGATGCCCAACGGACTCTACTTACAATCTGATGGGATTAATTAACATGGGATCCAATCAGTCATGCATGTTGGACTGGTCGGACCCTGATGGTGATAGAGATACGATTACTTTTAGTAATAAGGATAGATACTAGAAGAAATAAATAGAATGGTTTGTTGTTAGTTGTTTTCTGCTAGTTGCTATTAACTAAAGTCAGTTGAGTTGTAATACTATAAATAGAATAAAGCTGAGAAATAAGGGAGGCTGTTTTGACTATTTAGTCTATTCTGGGAAGATTGAGATAGTTCTCTCTCTCTTTTGGGGGCTTCGGCCAGTGTATTGCTTTCCCTGACAATAAAGATTCTTGAGTACTTGATACTATTTCCTTACTTTCTCTTTGATTTTGCTGTGATTTATGGAGGATTCTATCAGTGGTATCAGAGCACGTTGATCTCTGGATGAGATTTACGCTTGCTAAAATGGAAGGAAGATTGAACGAACTGGAAAAAAATCAATGGGAATCAGCTGCAGCTATAGCGACGGATATAGCAAAGCTACGAGCTACGCTAGCGACCTTGGTGGAGAGAGGTCAACATCGATCTGGAAGCCGATTGCATACATCGGACTTTTCGCATCGTTCTTCGCATCGGAAGTCGTTCCCCAGTTCGCATACTGAGTCGCGAACTGTTTCTGCTGTTTCGCACTCACAAAAGGCTTCGTGCGGAAAAATGGGGAAGATCGTGGAAAAGGTGGAGCGCGGAAGTTCGCAGACTGAATCGCGACCTTCGTATCTTGGTTCGAAATCGCGAACGGTTACTCTTAGTTCACCATCACGAACAGCTTCGCTCAGTCCACAGGGGTCATCGCTAAGCGCACAAGTTTCTTCGCACAACTCACATCGCACTTTGCATCGCAGACATGTGAGAGATTCCGCTAGTCCAGATGGTTCAGAAGGTAATTCTGATTACTTACCTTCGCATCAGGAACACAATCATCCCAGGGGCCATCAAAGTTATAATGGAACTAGGAGGAAGATGGAATTACCCAATTTCAATGGAGATGACGCTTATGGATGGATGAATAGGATGGAACGTTATTTCCATATCAATGCTACTAAGGAAAAGGATAAGGTTGAAATCGCTGAAGAGGCCATGGAGGATCAAGCTTTTAGTTGGTTTCAATGTTGGGAAATTTATACGAGAGTAAAGACTTGGGAGACTTTGAAGGGAGATACAATTAGACGTTTCCCACCTAAACACAGGCAGAAAACATAAAGCCAAGAACCATCGAGGTCAAGAAGAATTCTCTCATTTCGCAAGCAAATTCTTCTGGACCTCTGGTTTCGACGCAAGCAGAAGTCCCCAGTTCGCAGGTTTCTTCAATCGCTGGATCTCACAGCTCATCCTCTCTTGTCATCGCATCAGAAAAGGGATCTCCAGGGACTCCACCAACAACAATAAACACAGAATTGGAACCGGTTGTACCTTCAGTAAAGGAAACAGACCCTGAAGAGGAATGCAATGAGAAATTTTCAGTTAATCTTGGACCTGAGTTTGGAGCAATGACTCGTTTCCTCAAGTGTGACAAACTTTCCAGCTTGAATAACAGCAGCAAAGATTGGAGTTCTTTTAGAGAAAACGATTTTTTTTCATCTGACAGGCAAGGATGGAACCAAAGAATTATGACTGAGGTACTTGGTGATGCAGGAACTGGTTTTGTACTCTCTCCCACAAAGGGTTGCTTGATTACCATGTTGCTTCATACTAGCAAAGATTGTGCTATTTTTTAGATAGCCTGGGTTCTTCCAATCTCTGTTTTAAGACACCAGGTGAAAATGGACTCTTCTTTGGAGGAACGTGCAGTGGCTTCCAAGTATGGGAGTTCTATGGGAGTTGTTTGGTGGAATGATGTGGAGTATACTCCAAGTACGGCGGAGGATGGCATTGTTTTACTGAAAAGCATCATGGCAGTCAATCATAATTCAATGGGAGAAAAGTCAAATGGAGTTGAAGCAAATTGTAGTTCAAAATTTTCTGATGAACAGATTAAAGTGGATGAGAATCCTGATGTTCAGGACATGAACACAAATTCTGCTACTGTTGCAAGTATTATACCTCAGGAAAGTACGAAAATATTTGTGGCTATTGAAGGCCTGAAGACTAAGGAAGAAAATGAAAATTCACCAGAGATAATGTATGCTGCAGTAACATCTGTGAATTGGAAGAATCAAGTATGGAAGCTCTTTTCTCAGAAATCAGTTAGATATTGGGAAGGTAGAAGCGCCAGGATGAAGAGGAAGCAGAAGATCATGGTTACTTCATATTACCCACCTTGAGGGCAAGGTGGATGTTTAGGGGGGGGGGGGGGGTATTGATAGAGATATGATTACTTTTAGTAATAAGGATAGATACTAGAAGAAATAAATAGAATAGTTTGTTGTTAGTTATTTTTTATTAGTAGCTATTAACTAAAGCCAGTTGAGTTGTAATACTATAAATAGAATAAAGCTGAGAAATAAGGGAGGCTGTTTTGACTGTTTAGTCTATTCTGGGAAGATTGAGATAGTTCTCTCTCTCTTTTGGGGGCTTCGGCCAGTGTATTGCTTTCCCCGACAATAAAGATTCTTGAGTTCTTGATACTATTTCCTTACTTTCTCTTTGATTTTGCTGTGATTTCTGGAGGATTCTGTCAGATGGACCTGGGATGGGTCCCACAAGATCATAAGGTGGCTGGTGGGAACAATTGTAGCAAAGGGAACTATATATAAGGTTGAGTGTTTAGTACAATATGTGCGTACAATATCTAGAGCTGAAAGTACAAGCACATAAAGCTTTAAACTAGCTATCATAGCGGGTCATCCAGGTAACCACAAAAAACCTGGTCAGCCAGTTTGATCCATGGGATATACACTGTCACAATCCAAGATAGATAAAGAGAATATTTATGCACCTTAGATCTTTTGGGATGAATTTATTAGGCATGTGATCCTCATCCAATATTGATGTCAGTTCAGACCCACTTGCCCAAAGAAATAGGGCGTGACTTGGAATCCTTACACCGGGCCAAACACCACCATTAGCTTCCATAACAGCTAAGTCACGCCTCTTGCTCTCGTAAGCTTCTTCTTGGAGCTGTTTATAAGTCTTCTTCTCGTGCCCCTTGAGAGGAACCCATGGAGGTATACCCTTCTGGAGCTTGTGGAGGAAAGCCGTGGCAGCTGCCCCTAGTCTAGCTGCAAATCAATCAATCACATTCATCATCAAGACACTTACATATATGATACTCTTTCCATCCCAAAATGGATTTTCATATAACTATTCATGTGGCCAACTTAATTCATTCTTATTCTCTAGTTTTCTGTGTCAAACTTTTATCACATTCGAAATCGGCTTTTGTGGTTCAGTAGAGATTTTACTGCAGTTTCTAAATATGTAGGTTTTAATTGTTAACATTAATTTAAATTTTAACTGGGGACAGTTACCTTATCATCAATAAAACATCATAAACCGTAACTAGCAAACTGATTTGTGACAGAGGTCATATTGTTATTAGTATTAGTTTCCTATCAGAATTGACATTTTATCTTAGAGAGTATTACTAAGGATAATATTGTAGAGTAAACGATTAAAGACTATATATACTTTTGTCCATTTTTTGCTCGCCTAGATTACTATGAGTAGGATAAATAGGGATTTTACTTGGTCAAAATCATGCAATTCCAAAACATGTCAAGTCTCTAGGGTTTCAGGCTCATCCTCTAGGCTCTTTGAGGGTTGAGTCTGCCATATACAACCACACTCATAAGAATTACTACCTCCGTCCCACTAACATTGGGACAGAAGGGGGTGGCACGATTATTAAGAAAAGTGAGTTTATGTGGTTGATATTAATTGATAAAGTAAGAATAAAGAAAGAATGATTTAGAGGCACACAAACTTTACCAAATTTGGTATGAGACAATTTTAGTGGGATTTCTCGAAAAGGTAAAATGGGACAATATTAGCGGGACGAAGGGAGTATATAATTTTATTCTATTCTGTATAACTCATTCACAAATAAAAACCACTATAAATAGAAAAAGAACTAAAAGAGAAATGGTGGTGGAAAGTGAAAATGAACCTTCCCATGGAGCAATAGCACGTTCCAAGCCATAAACCATCGAAATAGGTGCCCATTCGTCCATGTCCTCACCCCAAATGAAAGTATGCCTGTCAATGATTCCACCAGCCCATGCAGTCTTAAGCTGTATTAACTCCATGGGACCCCTAGACCGACCTAACCGGTCTTTATAAAACCATCCACCAGTCTTCATTATAACTGGCCACAAGTTAAAAACAAGTAAAGCTCAATTAAATGGAAACTAATATAGTAATACTCCACATGAGAAAATGGACGAGACTAGTCCATCACTCCATCCTTAATGAAGGTAAGAAGTAAGAACATAAGGCATTGAAACTACTTCGTTAGAGTCCCGCATGAGTAAAATAACAAGAGAATAATTGTTTAATAAGATAGTTTGTTGAACTAGCTAACACATTGAATTCAATACTTTGAGGTGGTTTGGCTCATGTGCCTTACGACCGAGTTGAGCTACCTCAACACAATCCTGCATTTTACCATATTATAATTATAATAACCACTGCTGAAAGCCTAAAATAGCTGACTTAATTTAAGGCAGAGAACTTACAATCATAATACCGCTTTTCAAGCCGTTTATACCCAATAGCCTGGGCAGCATCAATGGGCCTTCCAGGTGGATATGGCCTTTGTCGGAACCCCCATAGCCCAAAAAAGAATTGCTGCGCAAAATCCCAAAACTTATCATCTGACTCTTCTTTTGTCTTTATTGATTTCCTAGGCATAGGCCTTCCATCCAATCCAATCACATTAGGGAGTGCCTTCATTGATAAACATATCACGCTTTATCAGATTATTTTAAAACTAGTATGCAAAAAGTAGAACAAACGTGTTAAATTTGATCAAGTAAATCATGCATGTTATTATGGAAAATATGAACTTCAACTTCACAGGTAGACTATCTATATGATCTCGTTTCACCATTTTTACCGTGGGAGTTTAATATAGAAATAAAATAAAAATGTGATGCATTCTACTACCTTAAAGTCTTAAACAGAGTAATTTATTAGAAAAATCCAAAATTCCATTGCAAATGCTAAAACAGTTTATGAATAAGCAGATAATTAACTACCTGAATTCAACAAAAGGAAAAAAATCCATGTAAAATATGTGTGTAAAGAAGTAATTAAAGCATAGCAAAACCTGCCACAATTTCTTGTCTTCTTTCTTATAAGGAGCTAAATTTTCTTTAAGCGCATCTTCATTAAGCTTATCTCTAATTTCTTCAGCGCGGGCCAAGAACTGCACAACCGGGCTCTCCTTCAATTCAGCTAACCACTTCTCGTTCTCCTCAATCTCTTCTTCGGTCGGGTTCTCCTTCTTCTCGAAAATCGGCCCTTCTTTAAGAATCTTCTCTACTTCCGGCGAGTGCCGGTAGTCCGGCAGGTTCTCGCACTCCCAGTAGAACTGGTCAAGCATCCGGCGGTACTTCCCCGGAGGATGGTCCTTCTTGGGCTTTCCAGAAAAAAACGGGAATGAGATAGCGGCAAAAGGAGAATTCTTTGATTGATGGTTGCATAGGTTTACAGAATCAATAAGGGTGTGGAAATCGACGAATTTAATAGGGTTCGGAGGTTTATTGAACCAATTATTATTAAAAGGATTGAAGTTAATTGAAGCCATTGGAGTAGATTAGATGGTTTATGCGCTTGTGGTTTTGGCAATGGAGGATGTTTGACAATGGCCGACCGCCGGTGGGATTCCAACGGGAAGGAGGAAGACTGATAGTGGCGACTGGCTAGTGGAAACACAAATGTTGAACTTCCATATTTGTGTATAGAGGGGTATAAACACTTTTAAAAAAAGTCTTACAAAATAGATATGTTGCATCATCACATTATTTAACACATCACATCATATTTACAACACTTTTACATCAATGGTGATTAGAATAACCAAATCACTTATTTGTAAGTTTTTTTGTAAGTGTGTTTATACTTCTAACATTTTTCTTTTGATTAACTTAGGAGCCCAATCCGTTAAAGAGAGTGGGTTAAATATTTAATTATGTTATGTGTTGGCCCAACTAATCGGACAATACTCATCCAGTTGGGCTTACCCACCCAACATGGGCCAGCAGCAAGCTTGGTGACCTGATGGTTCCACATTTTTTTAGAATATTCTTCCAAACGAGTAAATCTAATACTACCTAGATTGTCTCATTTTACATTATCGGTCCGTCTCACTAAGATTGTGTCATACCAAATTTGACAAAGTTTATTTGGTTTTAAATCATTCTCACTTTATTCTTACTTTATCAACTCAATATCAACCACATAAACTAATTTTTATTGATTTGCGTGTCACTCTCTCTTGTTCCATTATTAGCGGGACGGAGGGAGTATAAATGTATAATACTAGACATAGTACCCGTGCGATGCACGGGTGTATCTAGAATAAAATAAAATTTTATTTCAAATACAAAGTATATTTTATTATGATAATACGTAATGTGTATTTTTGTCAAATAAAAAAATATTTTCAAGTTTATATGTCGTAGGTTTGATTATTATACAATACTACGTAGTAGCGGTGAGAAAATAAAAAGTTGGTTCATATAAAAAATTGCAAGTAAAATTTAAAATAAACGATAGGGTGTAACGATAAACACTACGTGGTTAACAAATAAACGTATCAATGCTTCCGGGTTGAATTTCATAGAGATTCACAATTTTGACAGACGTGATTAACAAATATTTTTTACCCGACTATGATAAAATTCTTATACCTGATTTTCAAAAAGAGCTGATAGATATTTTCCAGATCAACAGTTTGCTTCACTTTGGAAAGAGTGAATTACCTAAATAGGACAAAAAAGTGGTCAAAAGGCACAAATATGACTAAATGTTTTTAGTTCCCCTAATAGGACTATTTATGTGTGTTTGGGCGGCTGGTGCATGATTTTTTGAAAGATGAAGGGATGGAGGGGAAAACAGTGTCCGAATACCCAAGAGCCATAGCGCATTACCACCATCTTCGGGCCACAATGATGCATGGCCTGGTGCATGATTTTTTGAAGCAATAAGTATTTAAAAAAATGTTACAAAAAAGTATACATTAGTTTTGTATTGACAATTGTAGTATTTGACTTTGTGGGCGGAGGGAAATTATGAGCCCGTTTGGAGACCTCTTTTTTCGGCTTATCAGGCTTATCAGCCAGCTTTTTCACCAAACACGTAACTTTTACTTTCGTGTGTTGAATTGTGTAATAAGCAGAAAAAGTAAGGTTGGAGTTACTTATCTGACTGTATTGGCTGAAGTTACTGCAGAGGACCATTTTAGCTATTTTTACATGTAATTTTTTCTTTAATTTATTAATAAAATATTTTTTTAATTTTTTTTTCTTGAATCAGCAGAATCAGCCAAAACAGCCAGTTCAGCCAGAACTTCATAAATTTCAGCAGAATCAGGCAATCAGCCAAAACAGCCGATTTTCGTGCTACCAAACGGGCTCTATGTGTCTACTCAATAAAGTGAATGGTTTATGGTCTTAGGTAAATAGTGAAAGTGTATGAAAGAATGGCATGAAGAAAGTGGAATGCTAAAGAAAAATGGAAGGAACATATCAAAGAGAAAGCAAGCAATCACGCAAGTCTATTGGAGTAACACATGCGTTTGTGGTTTGCCATTAATCAATGCTGAAAAAAAATGTTTACTTTAAATTACTCATAATTAAAAATATGTTAGTCTAGTAATATAGTGACACGTGTAAAGTTTGATTGGTAAGAGAATGCGAACAACTGACTGATTGGTACTAGGGGTGGATCGAGACCGGGTCGGGCCGGGACTAGGCGTGCTCGGGCTTAAGAAATTCAAACCGGTACCGTCCCAGGTTTTTTCCGAGATCGGGTCAGGCGGGCCTAAATAGTACGGGTTGGTCCGGGTTTTGGAACGGGACTAGGAAATAAATTAAAAAGTAGTGCAATCGGCCTCGGGCCCGGGTCAGGGCAAAAAAGACGAGCCCAAAGCCCGCCCTTATACCCTTGTAGCTTTTGAAATGTCTTAATTAATAATAAAATCATAAAAAATAATAATAAAAGTAAAAAGATAATAAAAAAAGTCAAAAAAATATTAAAAAATATATACTCCGTATAATATTTATAAAATAAAAAAAAAAAAAAAAAAAGAAACTTAAAAATGTAAAAAAAAAGATCCCGCCTATGCCACCACCAGCTCCCATCACCGGTTGAAAATCTGCCAACATTTTTAGTAATGCCATAATAATGGCAGATTTAATGAGAATTTTGGTATTATGATGATTAATAATGTCATTTTCTTGGCATTTTCAGATAAAAATGACATTTTTTAAAAAATGGCAGAATTTTCACTGATCGAAGGTGATGGTGATGGGAGGCGGTGGGAAAGGTATCCATTTTTTATGAGTTTTTACTATTTTTTATTAATTTGTTTTAAAAAAAATAAAAACAAATATGCCAACTTTTTTAGTAATTCCATAATAATGGCAGATTCAATGAGAATTTTGGCATTATGAAGAGTAATAATGTCATTTTGTTGGCAATTTCGGGCAAAAACGAAATTTTTATAAAACTGGCAGAATTTGTACCGATCGAAGGTGGTGGTGTTGGGAGGCGGTGGGAAAGGTATTCATTTTTTATGGGTTTTTACTATTTTTATAAATATTTAAAAAAATTAAAAAACACTATTTTTTAATTTTTTATTTTATTGTTTTTAGTTATTAAGATTTTATTATGAATTATAACAATTCATTATGAAATAATACCCTTAGGGGCATTTCTGGTAGGAATCAATGTTTAGTAATATTTGGGAGGGTTAAAAATGTAGTAGTCCTATTTGTGCATTTTAGAGAATTTTTAGTCTTATCAATAGCAATTACAAATTTGGAAATGGAATTTGCAAATGGAATAGTAATATTTTAGTAGGGGCATATGCACTTTGCATTCTACTCTATATGAACCTTTTCGGGAAATTTCATTAAGGCTGTCTCATACCAAATTGGGTAAAGTTTGTGAGGGTCTAAATCATTTTTACTTTATTCGCACTTTATCAATTCAATATCAATCACATAAACATACTTTTCTTAATAATCGTTTCACCACTTCTTGTCTCAATATTAGTGGGATGAAGGTAGTATTAGTAGTAACTTCCATAGAATTGTACTTATATTTCATAGGTGTATTATAAATAATAATGAGTGTGATTCATCTTGCCATAAAGATGACACACCTTACCATTCTTTCATACGTGCCTGTCCTACTCTACTTTCTATACTCAGTATGCTTTGCCCAACATTTCATGTGTAACGTGTCTTCGTCCAATTAATAGGAATTATTAAAATTTGGCAATACATTAATGCATTTTAATGCCCAAAATATGGGCAGTAATTTCAACCGTGATATCCACTTCAAAATTAGTGATGGATAGTGTATCCGGGGGTAGCTTATCCGAGGGGTTATTGCGGGAATAACTTAGAGAGAAGTCAGAGCAAATAAGTAAGAGAGAGAGAGTGTATATTCGATATGTGAACTCGTAGTTTACAATGGGGAAATGGGCTGCTATTTATAGCAGCAATAAATGCTAGACAGGGACACGTGTCAAGCATCCAACGGCCGAGGGTCACCTCAATCGGGGTGGCACCGGCATTTGCATGTGGCCACATTAAATGCGGTGGTTGGATGTGACGTTGTACTTAGTATGGTGATTCAGACGCACGTGGAGATGATATTCTGTCAAAGAGGATGCCTTCGGTTGTAGATGACAAGCCGAAGGCTCTTCGTACCGGGGGCCTCCTAGTACCGAGGGCTCCTAGTGCCGAAGGCTCGGTTTTCAAGCCTTGTTCGCCTGTGATGTTTTTGAGCTCGACTCTGTCAACGGTAGCCTTCGGCCATGGGGCCGAAGGCACCCCTTTGCGTATTGTGAGCTGCTTAGAGCTTCATCTTGCTGGGCTTGGCCCGTTTGGGCCTGTTGGGCCTGATTGCAGTAGTGGGAGTAGGTGGGTCGGGGGTCCCTGGGCCATATACTCCATCAAGAGTCCCTCACTTCTTTTGCCGAAAGGTACTTGAGGGAAAAGGAGTTATTGCGTTTGTCCTATGATGTTGCCTTGCTGTAGTTTGTAAAGTTTGCAAGGAGTTTTTCGTTTGAGCGTTTTGCCGAGGGCAGTACCTCAGCCCCCCACATTTCGGGACTTGAAGGATTATGTTGATGTTTTGGGGAAAGTTTAACATTTTGTGATTTTTCCCAGAGGGGACCTCCAGTCCCCAACAATAAGGAAAAACCTCATTAGGAAAAACCATGTGGGAAAAAAATCCTAATGAGGGAAAAAGAGTGCACTGAATTCCCCCAATGATGAATCGAAAAGGTTAACCCTCGGTCTGAGTGTAGTGACAATGTCGAAGGCTACCCTTGATCTAGGGGGTTGCTTGTTGATTTGTCGAAGGTACCTTGTTGACATCCCAGGGATGCCGAGGGGGGTCTCCTAGTCATTGAGGACCGAGGGCGTGACAAATGCAGATGATAGTTCCTGTATTGCCGAGGGGTTCCCTGCTTCTCAATATATTAGGGGCTAAGGGCAACCGAGGGGGTTCCCTGACCTTTAAGCCGGGGGCTTCTCTTGATGAAGGATTTGAATATGATAGCCCGAGGGCTGGCTCAATTGTTGCACGAAGGGTGTCAACCGGGGGGGCACCTCTGGAGAGGGTTTCCACGTGGTGCATGTTCGTTGGCTGTCCGCGGGCGGGTGTCACCGATTGGCTGAAGCGACGGTGTGTAATGATGATTTTCCCATCGGGGGCCCGGT